CGACCAGAGTCGCGGAACGAATTAAGTTCGTGAACCGAGGTACCACCGTACATCCATTTTGGTACATTATCAGTAGCAGAATGAAGGAAAAAAGGGGAAAAAAGTTGGCATTACGACTGCTCCTTTTACCAATGAACCCTTGACAACAAAGGATAGGTATCACAAATATTAGCAAAGGGTGCTTTCTACAGCATGATTTCTAAAATTCATTTACAATGGCCTAGTCACTTCCAAAATGACTGATTTTAAATTTGAAAATAAACTTATCCCTTCAACCTGAAATGCAAACAAGCAGAAGAAAACCTGATAAAGGGACAGCAAATATAATGATGCAGAAATGAATACAGGTAGGGATATCATGGAATACACACCCGTGCGCACACACAAATTAATTCTGTATGGACAGGTTAAAAGATTACCATATACAAACCAATAAGGACGTTTTTCCTAAACCAGTGATGGCAAACCTATGACATGTGTGTCAAAGGTGACACGCCATGATGTTTGGGTCACACGCCAGTGTTCATCAACACCTGACAACCACTATTCTCTCTGAGGTTTTATTTATTTATTTGTATTTCAAATTTCTTGCTGCCCATCTCACTGCAGAGTGACTATGAACGGTTTTCAGTAAAAAGAATAAAATTAATTCAAATAGAATAAATATTAATTAAAATACATTAAAATAAAACAAGATTCCTAAATAAAAAATAAATAGCTTCTAAGGAACTGATGTTAACTAGAAATTATTAGACTTGGGGAGCATCTTCAAGGCACTAGCCACCCCCAGGGTTAGTTATATTCCTTCTCACCCCATGCAAGTTGGCAGAGCCAGCTCTTCCAAAGAATTACGAAAGAAACAGTTTGTTTTATTCGTATTTCATTTTTGTAATTATTTGATGTTTCTTTATATAATACACAGCACCACACATGATTGGACTTATTTTTTTTAAATAAATGAATATGTAAAGAATTGTTTCTCTTTTGTTTGGGGGGAGGGGTTACACACCGGCAGAGTCAAGTTAGGCATTTTCCAAAGTTTTGAGCCCAAAAGGTTCACCATCACTGTCCTAAACCATTCTTCTAAACCAGCACTATTTAAACTTGGCAACTTTAAGATGTGTGAACTGCAATGTACCCAGCATGCTGGCTGGGGAATTCTGGGATTTGAAGTCCACACAGCTTAAAGTTGCCAAGTTTGAAAAACAATGTTCTAAATAGTTTTTCCTAAACCATTATTTCTCCTCTGGCCACTGTGTGGCACTATCAACCTTGAGAAGGATTTCCCAACTTTTCTCAAACTTTATTTGAAGATACTGTCAAAGGAGGAGGGGTTGTTTCTGCATTTTGCAGTGATTGTTTTGCTTTATCTACAACTACATATACTGATCTCATTGCAAGCCATATGTTTCAATAAAAATACACCAAAATTGTTATCTTATGCAGTTACATATTACATTTTAACTCTACATGTTACAAAAAAGGCTTTGTAGTGGTTCAGCATCTATGTAAAGCCAATTGACTAGTAAAGCAATTTACTTAAATGTAAATGAGTTAGTTTGGAAAGCAACCATATTTGTGTTAGAAGCACAAGGAGGTACAAACAGGTTGGTCCCTTTTTCTTATCTCCCTGCAAGTGGGGGAAGAAAGGAGTTTCCTATTCTGATAAATGGCAAATAGCTCCAAGGTGAAACTAAAATGAAAAGCAAAACACCATTTTCTCACTTACATTTTCTATAACAAATGTCCACTCTTTGTCTTCAAATTCCTCTGCGTGGGGATCCTGAAAGGCAGAAATATAATGTTAAACTCCTTTTTGAACCCAAGAAACCCATGGTAGAGGATAAACAGATGAATCCTGGATTTTGATCTATAGGATGACAGATCCAAGGTCTCAACCTATTATTAGGAGGGCCTCTTTAGCAGACTTTCCACTATACCCCGTTCTCTGTTTATCATCCTCTCTGCACTGCATAGGAGTGAACTTGGCACAGCATACTGCTTTACCACTGAGTACATGTTGGAGGGAAGTTTAGGAGCATAATATCCCAGACTGAAATGTAGGTGCTCTGCTTTTTACTAGCAGATCAATCCACTAGATTTCCAGAAAGTTTTCAGATTCTGTTCAATTACAATTCCCTTTAGAAGATGGATTTGAATTACACTCATGTTTAAGTGCTCCTGCTATTTATGCCTCATGTAGAAGATGACCAGCATTTAATGTCTGTCACTATTATGTTAATTTCTCACCTTGTCTTACAGCTTTATATTGTATTATTGCTCTTCTTTTGGTCTTTGATTGCAAATCATTTTTTTAAAAACCTATATGCAAAACCTTCCAAAATTTATTGATTTTCAAACATGGAAAATGGAACACAGGTGTAAAGATTGTAGCTTTTTATTATATTATTCATTTTATTAATTTATTATTATTTTATTCTGGCAGTTCTAAAGACCCTTTCTTTTGAGAGGTTACATTTATTTTTACTTTTCTTCCCCAGTTATTTAGAAGTAGCTTTTTATTATATTATTCATTTTATTAATTTATTATTATTTTATTCTGGCAGTTCTAAAGACCCTTTCTTTTGAGAGGTTACATTTATTTTTACTTTTCTTCCCCAGTTATTTAGAAGTAGCTTTTTATTATATTATTCATTTTATTAATTTATTATTATTTTATTCTGGCAGTTCTAAAGACCCTTTCTTTTGAGAGGTTACATTTATTTTTACTTTTCTTCCCAGTTATTTAGAAATCTGTAGGTTACATGTCAGCATTACTGAAGAATATCCATGATGTAAATCAGCATATAAAAAGACAAAACTGAGGTTCAGAATCAACATGAGTAATAGATTAACTACACACACACACACACACACACACACACCCACACCATTGCTTTGGTGCCAACTTCTGAAAACCGCCATCAAGTAGGGACAACTCCTGGTCTTTGTTAAAGGCTAATGAAAGCTGAAGAATAATCCAGGAAGTTGAGATGGTTCATACGCCTCCTGTCATTGGTCACTCATCAGAGGGACCAAAGTACAACTCAGTAACAACATTAAAACAAATCTAGAGCATATTTATTTTTCCTGTTATGATTATTTTTAACAGACTTTTTACCTTGTTTATTTTTAACTGACTACTGTTAACCCTGAAATAGAGTGGAGTGAAATGTGAAGAGTGAAAAAGAGTGGCCCAGAATTGCATTCACTGTCACAGACAATGGCTTTATTCCTAACCAGAGCATCTTCCCGTGGTAAATATATGACTCTGATATCTTTTTAAGGAGAGATATGTAGGGTAGCATGAAGGAATGCAGTGTGTATAGAAGATAATCATGTTCTCACCATGGAGTGAGTCTCTTGTCATATGTAGATCAGAATTGTATTTATACCTTAAAATGATGTTTGATACCAAATCAAACAAATACTGTTTGAGATATCAAACGTTTTAGGAACAAGATATTTCATTTGTGATATTAAGCTGATTCTTGATCTAGACACCTTGCTAACTGGCTAATCAAGGAAAAACGAAGTTTCCTAGTCCAAAATCAAAGACAGATGCTATCAGCCACACATGTTATGAGCAGGTTTGGTTGGGATTCTAAAACCTAAGGGACACCAAAGATAGCAACAAGTTGACTTTAGCTCCATCTCCACAAATAAAGAGGGCAAAGAAAGGTATCCCCCCCCACCCCCCCCGCTCCAGGGGTCAGGTCTCTGAAAATGTTTAGAATCTGGACATTGGGGACATTTAAGCTAAAATCCCAGACCAATCTATCATTACCTTAGAAGTCTCTTTCTTCCTATACTCTAATGGAATCATCCCATTTAATGATCTCCACTTGTATTTTCACTTACATACATTTTAAAAAACATTTACACATGCATCCCTTCTCCAGGAGCCCAATGTGGATTCATTAGATTACCAAGGCTTCCTCATTTCCCGCTATGCCTGAAAAAAAAAATCACACTATCTCATTGGATTTTTATTCAAGATGTTTAGTTTCCATTATTTTTTTCTTGTTTATGATTATACATGCTTAGAAGAACTATAAAACGTATAAACCAAATGGTTTTTGTGTTGGCTTTATATGTTACTGTAATTATGTTTTAGATACCTTTCTAAGAAAAGGGATCTATATCTATTGGTGATGTGTATGAGTCTCTTTAGCAATGCAACTTTTTAATCCTTTTACAAACTGCATTTTAATACCTAGGTTACTGAAGAATTAAGTTCCTAGGTACTGAAGGTTTGCTAGATGGTGCCTACTCCAAACTACATCTAATCTAATGATTGTTGTAATCTTGTGTCTTTGAAGCTTATGCTTTAGCAAACAGTAAATTTATTTCATTTTTTATATAACCTTGAGATACTGTTATTCTTTGAAATTAGTAATGTCATCATGATTGGTTTTTAATGTGCAGACATAAAACCATGTATAAACACTGTAACTTTAGAACTACTTTTAGTTTATCCATAATTTAATGTGTGGATATCAATTTAGGTAAGTTATTCTAAAGAAATAAGGAAGAAACAAGCTCCTAAATTAACTAAAAATGAAGGGTTCAATAAGAACAGAAGCTATTGAAAACAAAGTTTTGGGCCGGAGCTGGAAACAACTGCAGACATTGCTACTCTAAAGCACAAAGACCTCTGAAGAATCCTCTGCAAATCAGCTTAGAGGGAGGAACTATATGCCCACGTGGAAAGAAATTATGCAGAGGGGCTCGTGATCGTCTTTCTGTCTATCTGTCAGTAGGATATCTCTCAGAAAACAGAAAATACAATAATTTTATCAATATTATTTTACAGGTAAAGTGAGCAGTGGTAATTCAAAAATTTTTAACCACTAGCTCTTAAATCTTTTGTGTGTTGTCCTGGTCCTGCTCATCTTTACAGTATAGTTTTTGGCATGCATATACATACACACACATACACACATATCATACACATATACACACAGGTATAATTACAGGCCCACATTTATTGGGAAATCTGCAGGTTTTAACCAGTTATCACCTTTAAGATAACAAGAAAGAGTGGCACAGAGTTTTCTTTGTGTTCATTATTATTTTCTATTTATTTTTCCTTTAAAAGCATTTTCCTTTCAGATATTTGTATTGTGTAATACAAACTCTTGGTTCATTTACACTGTTATTTAGACTTCTTTCTGATTGCGTATCTTATAACCAATTTCTATGTTTCAATCATATTTTTGCAATTTGTAGTGGTGCCAATTGGGTAAAAGATACATACAACACATACCCACAGCTGAGAGTAACTGTACATCTTTTCTCTAAGTTAATTCCCTACTACTACATCACATCACCAACTCAGGATCATACTTCATTCATTTGCTGAAATGGATTATATTCGTAAATGTTTATGTCATAATCCACTTGTTAGGTCAACAAGGGGGTTTTATCATTTCTTTAAAAAAGCAACCTTCAGCCTATTCCTCATACAATGAAAACCTCTTAACTGGAAATAATTTAAGCTTGAGGTGTTTACTTTGCCCATTGCACAATCACAGGCATCGCCCTATTTTCTTTGGTGAAATTTTGGAGGGCACTGAAGCTCCATCATAAAACAGAAAGCCAGAGATACCATTTGGAGAGAAAAAGGTCAGAGAAGGCAGAGAAGGCAGACCACCATATTCATGTAGAGGCTTCTCATACAAAAGAATATGAGCAACTTCCTCCGATGTTTCTGTTTCAGACAAATACTCTGCCCAGTGACTGATTATCTATGCTTTTAAGTAACAAGTGTTCAAGTATCCACTGCCCACTGCTAAGAGGCTATACTTAACATTCTCATTAGCCACAGATGCCCAGACGTAACCTTTAATCCTATCAGCAATGCCATTTCAACAGCCACTTAAAGATTCAGAGATAATGCAATCGTATCACTTCCAGAACACATGCCTTGTCTAGCTTGGTGCCTGTTCTTTCCCTACGTGACTATTTTAGAGTGCTGCTTTGCAAACAAAATCAGGCCTTTATCTCTGATTCCGATACAGACTGTATGACTGCAATGCATTCTGTCATCAGCCACTGCCAGTACAGATAAAAGCCAGGAGCACAACTCTGGCCTTCAGCTTTTAATCAGTGCAAACAGGTTCTGTTGGGAGAGATACTTTCATGCCCTGATGCAAAATGGCAGTGCAAACATCTTTCTTCCTTCCCTCTGGGACACCTCTCTTCCCCACATGACACAGGTGATCCTCAACCTTCTGCTCAATGTTCTCCAATGTGGTGTCCTTCAAATTAGATGGGGCTGCTGATCTCAGAGCATGGACAATTACTATGAATCCCAGTAGGGAATTCTCACTAAGGGCTAGGACCTTTAGGAGCTGCAGAAGGGAGCAAGAATTAGGTCAGCATAAAAGTTAATACAAACAAATGTTCTTTCAGCAATCATTAACTACATGCCCAAATCTTGACAGAACTGCACTTTTGAAAGTGTGCTGTTGCTGGTTTCCCTTAAGTGTTATTCTGCCCCTATTCCAACATACAAGGCTCTTTTTATCAGGCCCTTCTCTTTTAAGGTGTCAAGTTTTCTTCGGTGAACTACCCAGGGGATTGGCTATTGGGTGATAGAGAAATACTTTCTTACTTTATTAAATTACTGCCGTACTAGCCTGCTGTCTTACATCAAGGTTGGCTTTCACAGATGTTCAAAATCAGGCAGGAAAATATTATCATAATATACCAGTACCATTTGATGGCCTGTCCCAACTTCTGGGATGTCTTTAGGTCCAATTTAGAGCCTGAAATCACCTGACATCAGGTCAGATGACATATCACCCCCTTCCGCATATAGCTGGCTGGTTCCTAAATCATTTTCAAAGGCCCTCTTTCAAAAGAAGTAACACGGGTAGCTACTCAGAACAAAGTAGAGCTGCCCTGGATGTGGAATGCCATTCCCAGTTGGGCTTGCTGGGTGCCTATACTGAGATCTTTCTGATGCCAGACAGAGTTCTTTCTTATTCTTTTAGGCTGTGTGTCTCTTCCATTCTAAAAGCAGAAATCACCCAGGGATGCTCTTACGAGCTTTACTTTAGTTGGGTTTGGCAACTGTTTAATTTCTGAAATATTTTTACGCTCTGCTTTATCATGCTTCTGAGTTTTTATTTTGTCAGCCACCTAGACCACTTCAGCTAGCATGAAAATGCACTAAATAAGAATACAGGTAATCCTCATTTAGTGACCACAACTGGCACTGGCAACTCAGTCATTAAGCAAGGTGGTTGCTAAGTGAAACATTTTATGATTTTAATTCAGCTTTCCTTTGCTTTACAGATCTGCAAAGGTTGTAAATGTGGGGACTGGTCTACTTTTTCATCACCACTGTAACTGCGAACAGGCGCTGTACGAGGCAGTCGCTAAATGAGAACTACCTGTAAACATAAATATAATATATAATTGTATAAATAATTTAAATGTTCAGCATATTCTCTCTCAGTGTATACACTGGTTTCCTATATACAGGAGCAAGCAATGTTTTGGTGGCTTAGGGCCATACATTTTAAAGGTTTGGGTAGCCAAGGCCACAGTGGGGCAATGACATAACGCCATCAGCTAAGTGGAGGTGCATAGGATTTCCAGTTGTTTGGTAGGATTGGCAGAACTGGGGAGGATGGTGTTTTGCCATTAGTTGTGTACCTGTGTTAGGGATTAACACTTTTTCTGTGTTGATAACTGTCAGAAACCAGCAGAAATTTGCACATCCATTTATCAGCAGTTTGTTGAATTTCAACACTCATTTCCAAGGGCCTTCGAAGCCACAAAAATGGACTAGGGTTGCACGCAGCCCAGTCTGCAGGTTGCTAATCCTTGGTGTAAGACTACAGGTTCAAAGAGATGGAAGCAGGAACAAAACAGTTTCCAAGTTGCATAGCTTTATCAATGCCTAACAGCCTCTTACCACAGATATTTATACTTAGTCCAAACTGAAAACTACACACACACACACCCTTTCAACTTCTCTTGTTGCCATTCCTGCCTGTATTAAGGCTATCCTTACAGACCTGGGGACCAGATTTTATTGTCCAGGATGTTGAACCTAATTTGTAGTAAAGTAAATTGACACATACTGCAGACAAACAGTATTTCTTTGCCAATTTCAAGATAGTAAGATTTATTATTCTGAATCCAAATAATTCTCAGTAGAAACAATCCTGCTCAAATAAGACCTTGATGGGTTTGTTTTTTAAAAGAAGGTCAAACGTGTTTTTTAACAGCAGAACAATTTTTGTGGTATATTCTCTAAAAGTGATCCTGCAATTTCTTGACAGCTTATTTACTGAGTTCACAGCTCTAAGCCCTAATGTGGTTTCTTTACTTTGATTTATAATGAGCCAC